CCAAAAACGTGTCCTAAGGGAAAATTTTCATTTTCATTTGTTTTGGTTATGGTTGAGATTGGGACAAAAGGTCGAAAATCAGGGGAAGCAGCAGGTGTTGGTGTCAGTGTCATCATCGGCATCGTCTGCTACTTTGAATATCATGAAGAGATACAAGTCAAAAAGGTTGGCCCCTCATGGAAATGGCCTGCCCACGCATGCCATATTTTGGCATCGTAATCTTCTAGTCCTGTCTGAGTCTGATATTCCAACTGGGTAAAATTCCTAAGACACCCTTAAACTTTTTTTTTTGATCAGCAAAATAAAGGATCTTTAATTATATAGAGTACAAGGGGTACTCCAACCCAAATACAAACAATTAAAGAAATCTAACTAAAACAAAGTATTCCCAAGAGACATGTAAGCCAACACATTCCAGTCACTCTACTCATCATGCTTTCCGCTTTTGTGCTTATGGAACGCTCTCAGCAAGCTTCTATGCTTCCTTATGACTGCAGCACATTTCCGTGGATTAAGTTTCCAATCAACTATTGAGAAGACACTTCCAGCCACCTTATTTTTAATCCATAGAAATGTTTTAGACTGAATCATATGGAGCAACCCGTCCCTACACTCCCCTATGTTCTGGAAAACTCTAATGTTCCTCCAATACCAAATATACCAAGATCCCACAAGGAAAAGACACGCCCCTAGCTCTCTCCCTACCATACCCCCCAACTCATACAAGAAAACCTCCATCACCCCTCCCACTGTATTGGGCATCACAACCTGCAGACCCCACCAGGACATCACCTGAACCCAAATTAACCAAGCTTCATCACATGAACAAAATAAATGATTACACTCCTCTACCTCCTTTTTGCACAAACCACACCTTAGATCTTCTACCGACAAATTAATCCCTCTTTTTTCTAAATTTCTTTTTGTTGGGAGTCTGTCCAAACATAATCTCCACCCAAAGAAACTAACTTTTGAGGGTACTAATTTACACCAAATCAACTTACAAATTTGATCAGGAAGAATGGACTCCATTGGTGACAGAAACTCATAGGCCTTCTTCACTGCATATCTCCCTTCTGCATCATGCATCCACTTCCAACAATCTTCGCGGCCTTCCGTGATTTATACTCTGCTTGGCACCTCCCACAGCGCCACTTCCTCCCCCCTCTCTCGACCCAACCTCCCTCTTCTCTAGTCCACATTCCATCTCCATACACCCCTTTCCCACACCCCCATTTCACAAACCATATCGTCCTTATTCATAGCTAGCTCAAATAACGTAGGGCATAACTCCTTTAGAGATTTATCCCCCACCCAAATCTCGCGCCAAAAACCTACTTGCCTTCCATCACCAACCATCCACCTAAACCCCTTCCCTAACATGTCTTGTAATTTGATAGACTTCCCCCTGACGCTAATAACATCCCTCCAAATCCTAGACATCCTCACACTATCCACTGCCTTGATGTCCACCTCCCTCCGACCCCCATAATATTTATCCCACACGACCCGTTTCCATAGGCTCTCACCACCATCACCCAACCTAAACCACCACTTCCCTAAAAGTGCCCAATTCCTCCTCCTCAAATCCATGACTCTTAACCCACCCTTCTCCTTACTACGACATACCATCTCCCAACTAACCCAAGGAATCTTCCTCTTTAATTCAGCCCCACCCCACAGAAACTCCCTCTATATTCTAATCAACTCAGACACCACACAATTAGGCGCTAAAAATAAAGACATGAAAAAAATAGGTAAGGAGGAGAGTACTGAATTAAGCAGAGTAATACGACCGCCAAAGGACAGCAAGGCAAATTTCCAGACGGCAAGCTTGGTTCGAAATTTATTCAGCACTGGGTCCCATAACTTCTTAGTCCCAGGATTTCCACCCACTGGCATTCCCAAATAAACAAAAAGTATCTTCCCAACACCACATCGCAAAACAGATGCTACTCCATTTAACCACCTCTGTGCCACATTAAATACGACAATACTACTTTTATGAAAGTTAATTCGCAATTCAGACATCAACTCAAACCACCGTAAAATGGTTTTCACAGTAAAAATATTCTCTCCATTTGCTTTTCCCAAAATCACCGTATCATCCGCAAATTGGAGCAATGAAATAGTCAATCCCTTGCTACCCACGTCGATTCCATGTATCAGGCCCTTTGTTTCAGCTTTTTTGACTAGACCATGTAACCCCTCGGCAATCATCAAAAACAGAAAAGGGGATAAAGGATCCCCTTGCCTTAATCCTTTTCCCACCATAAACTCCTCGGTTGGGCTTCCATTCACTAACACTGAGATTTTGGCTGTTGAAAGACACTCTTGTATCCATCCTCTCCATCGCACTCCAAAACCAAACCTGTTCATCATCAAATCCAGAAAAGACCAATTGACACAATCAGAGGCCTTTTCAAAGTCGGCCTTAAAAATAAAAGCTTGGTGCTTTCATCTCTTGACTTCCTCAACAACTTCGTTTAAGACTAACACCCCATCGACCAACTAACGACCCCAACGAAAGCCGACTGAGTATCACTAATAATTTGTGACATTACCACCTTAAGCCTATTTGCCAACACCTTTGCTAATAATTTGTAAAGACACCCAATCAGGCTAATAGGTCTAAAATCTTTTAATTCCACAGGATTCAGCTTCTTAGGAATTAAAGTCAAAAAAGAGGAATTTAGACCCTTTACTAACTTGCCATGTTGATGGAACTCCCCAAAGAAACTCACGAAATCCTCCTTCAAGCTGTTCCATGCAAATTTGATAAAATTAAAGTTGTATCCATCCAGTCCTGGTGCTTTATTCCCCTCACAATTCTTCAATCCTTCTTCAATTTCTTCTGCCGAAAATGGTCTTTCTAGCCATACCCTCATCTCCTCAGTTATCTGCTTGAAATTAATACCAGAAGGTTTTGGACGATTCCATGATTTAAACTTGATAATTTTGAGGGCATTTACTCGTGAAACTTAAAACTTGAGAGGGTTTAAGCCCCTCAACTAAAAAGTCTCCAATGGAATAGCCTTTCCGTTAAATCACTGTCAATAACGTGTATGGTTTGGTCGGTGGTGACTTTTAGGGCAATGTGGTGGAATTTGGTTTGACTTACGTTTCCTTTGAGATGTTTACTCATCGAAGATTCACAATATATAGGAAATGGCGTTTGACTACACTGATTGCAAGATAATTGTTGAATAACTATCTATTTATAGAAGATGGGTGTATTTGACTACATGATATTACTACACCGTGTATTGGATTATAAATTGGGCAATGAAAGATACAAGAAGGATAAGTTTATACATTGTGGGGTGTATCGGCGGAGGGAAGGTTGAGTTATTAAAGGATGAGGTGAGAAAAAGGTTATTTTATAT